TAGTCGAATATCAACCGGCTACTAATTCAATCGCATAAACATGTAGCACCGCATTTTTTTATAGAAGTTAATCACTATGTTTATTTTATTTCAGTTAACAAGGCTTGAAATAGAGAACTACAATCAACAGACAGAAATGGAGAGCTCTATAGAGATGAACCAGCACTTACAGGTGAGGCGCGCAGTATTCGTGTTACTTCCCGGACTTGCTATTTGCTGCAAAGGAAAGGGAAAGGGTAGAGACAACTGGCTTTGTTTTCCGATGCAATACTTCAACAATTTGAAGTTTTGCAATTAGAGAAATTAAGACGGCTGTTGCAAAGCAGATTGGATTATTACAAGTAACTTGATTGTTTGATCTGCTCCAGGCGGATGTAGAGACACTCAGAGATGAACTGGAATTCAAGAATCACAAAATTGAAGAGTTCGAGAGCATGTTACAAGCAGAAAGACAGAGACTCAAGGACATGGGACAAGAATTGCAGGTACAAAAGCAACAAGTTAGGGTTAGACAGTTTTTCGCCGTTTTTTTTTTAAACTCCACCGGCGTTCATACCATAAATGGTGAGTACGAAAGAAAAGGCCATTGGGTTTAAGGTTGGCGATGACAACACTGCAATAATTATCAAGAGCAAGTCTTGATTCAATGTTAGCAAAGATATCAGAATCATTTTCAGTTGCCATGATATATTGAGATAATTTTATTGAATGTTGCTTTTTTGTTTCTAGGGAACTTTGGAGAAGTTAGACATTCAAACTGAGACAAATAACAAGTTGCTGGCTCAACAAGATAAACAACAGGTAGATTACGCTGTACTGAACTTTAACATTCTTGGTGAGTTATTGACACTTGATTACTTATCGTATTGTATTGTAGGATATGGTGAGGGCACTGGAACAGCTTGTGGCCTTGAGGACAGAGCTACAAGAAAGCAACTTGACTTGTGAACAACAGGTAAGACAGCTTGCGCCAAAAGGCTGGTCGCCATGTTGTATTCTTTAGCTGAGGAAGGTTCTTACCGAGAGGGGAAAGGGTTTTGGGGCGATGGGCGTGAGAAAAACTCTTTGCTAAAATTTAATATGGCGGCTTAGCTAACTGTCGGTAGTGAATACTGTGTTCCCTGTGCATTCAATGAAATGTGAAACTGAGATAAAATTCCGCAACTTTTATTATTTTTGTACAAAATGTGATTTGGTTCCATGCCACTAATGCGATGGGTTTTGTTTTTTCACAGGCTCAGAAAATACACTCTTTGTCAGAGGAACTCGATGAAGCAAAGACCAGCATTAGAACGTTGAACAAACGAAACGAATCCGACATCGTGAGTGACTTGGTGTTTGTTTTGTTTCCTCGGAAAGCTGTTATAATATTCTTACAGTAAAAAATTACTGTCGATTATTTTCCCTCTTTCAGGATTGTGTTAACAATTTAATGGAGTCTGTCAAAGGTCTAAAAAAGAACCTTGGCGATAAAGAGGTGAGACTGTCTGTTAATACTCCTCCGTCACTTTACTACTGCGAATCTCAAGAGAATATGTAAACGCTCTACTTGTACATTGATTTTGCTAAAAAGTGACATTTATATTGCTTCATATCTTGTCGTGGCCGTTTCTCTCGAAGGCTTGTCTCCATTTCAAGTTTCTTTTCCTCTTTTACTTGACAGAGGAACCTTTTCGCTTATTCACGGGATTTGTTAAACCATGGGACTATACATTATTTTTTTTGTTCATTTTCTACAGAGTGAACTCTCATATATTAGAAATCAACTAGAGGAGAGCAAACTTCAGCAACAGGAGTTGACAGATAGTATAGAAGAAAAGGTAAATTGTTGTTGTACACATTGGGGCTTTTGAGAACAGTGCTTTGTATGGTGCTAGTGTCGATGGGTTTTTCAGTGTCCCAAAGGTAGGCTAACGCGAATGTCATTCTTTTTCAACAGAAACGAACCATCGAGAAACTGAAGGAAAAACTTGACCGAGAAACGGAGAAGTTTAACAAAGAAAGATTGGATCGCGAAACTGAAGTAAGTTGTCACTCTATTTGTGTCGTTATTACTTTTCTAATTCTGTGGCATTCTTCCTCGTTCAATATTTTTTATCATCAACAACGAATACACACAACACAACGGGGTAACGAGAACTTGAATGAACAAGTGTACTCACTAAATAATTTTTAAACGACTGTGAATATATGAAAGTCATATATTTGAACTGCGGATAAAGACGTGACTATGAAAGCGATCTTCGCAATAATGAACACTACTTGAGCAGTAGTGAAAATAAGGCCTGAAAAAAATTCAAGCCTGTAGTGGGTTCAAATCCCGTACAGGCCTGAATTTTTTCAGGCCTTATTTTCACTACTACTCAAGTAGTGTTCATTACTGCGAAGATCGCTTTCGTACTCATGTAAATAATTTTTGTCGCAGATGAGTCAGTTGAGAGATGATCTTCGTCGTACCACTGAGCAATACAGAGAACTTAACCAGGCCCTGGCTCAACAACAGCAACAGATCACATGTTTGCAGGTGAGTTGCAACTTATTTCTTATTCATGAAATTCAAGCCGAAGTGAATAATTGATGTGGTTGCTTTAAGAGCTTTCTCACACTATTTTTACGAAGCCGGAAACTTGAAGGAGTAAGGCCATGACATCTTTCCCGATCACTACTCGCGTATTTGTTGTGAGGAGCTGAAACTGAAGAACAGAATTTGCCCAGAGTGTGTATAACTATCGTATTTTAGCCGAAGCATCAACACTTTCGTAGATTGGAAGATGTTCTGTGGCAGGCAGAAACAAAGCAGACTTTCCTTCAAGCTCAGTTACGTCAAGATTTCGTTTGTCAAGGATTAACCGGCGGTTGTATTTTGAAGACATTTAGAGTTGGAGGAGCGTATTCTGGTGCTAGTGAACCATCAAACACGTCACCATTACCATCATTATAAGAAAGGGAGTGCTTCTAGGCACTGTTATGTACCCTTTTATGTTTTATCCTGTTAGTGTTTAGCTGTCCCCAATTTGACTAACCAGCCCCACAAGACTAAACGACTTGTAATGTTAAATTCTTTTTTTCTTGGAAAGTTGATCCGCACTGGGGAGTGCTTTTCAGCGCTATCTTAAACCCCAGTTTGGGTTGCTTTTTGGTGGTTTTCCTCTTTCTATCCTATATCAGCGTGAAAAGTCATTTAACACTTTCCCAATGTTTTATTTTAGAGCTGAACTCTTTACTTTACTGTACGGCGAGTGCCTGTAGGTGCTGTATTAACGCCGTGAATGGTAAAAGGCCCAACCACAAGAGAGTGCTTTTGAGTGCCGATTATCCAAAAATGTGATTGAACATTTTACCACAACTTGTGGCTTTTAAAGTTATTTCATCATACGAACTCTGAGAGTTACGATTCTATTTGGAGCCTTTTGAGAACAAACTTTTATTATTTTATCAGCAACAGATTCGTCCTATCTGCCATGGCTTACACAAAGGGAATTTTATTTTTAAACGTTTTAGATGTCTTGGACTGCATCACCTCTTTAAGTTGGGCCTAAACTTACCACTCCTTTCTGAGCCCCTTAGCTAATTACCTTCTTGTCTTCTGGTTCAAGGCCATCAGCTGACATAGATCCCGGATGTACTCTTCTTGACACAATTCCCATTTATGCAACCCACATCACGTGATCCAGCGCCCATGTGAAGGTCATGGAACTGACGTTATCGGCGCGTTAAGATGGTTTACAAGATTCAGCATCATACAACATGGCTTTCTCTTATTAACATTCTTTTGCCACTCAAAACTGATCTTATTTTAAGCGTCTATTTATAAGCCTTATATTTATGATCAGGCTTTAATTTGGCCTCTGGCTAAGGTTTGTAGTTTTTATTTTTACCCACGGACGCATCTCAAGCGTACCACTTTCGTTATTCTGTATCCTGAACTCATACCTTCTTCAAACGGTTTTATGGATTTTATTTAGTTTAGGTTTATTTACCTATCAGTATATTTATCTTATCTGTATAACTGGTGAGTATGCGTATCTTGTGTGTATCAAACATCTTAGACTGACTCAGAAGATGATCTCTGAGCTATTGTCCCGTTTTTTATGTGGCTCTGTAGGGTATAATGAAAATAGTACTGTCTCACAATCTCTGATCAGGGAATAAGGGACTGAAGTTTTGATTAATTAGTATAAACGGTTTTCCGTGCGGTTTTTTCTCAAATATCTTTTTATAGCCAGTATTCATACGTGGGTTTAAATATTATACGAGAACGCAAGGTATTTTTTTATACAATATTTAATATATTGATCCAAGGCAACTTGTACATATTTATAGCTAAGAGTATTTTACTAAAGCCAAGGCTGCGGTGTGCTTATGGTGTTCATTGGTTTTATATTTGGTCTCTTGTATATAGGCTTACAGAAAGTAATAATTTATATCAAACAAATGCCAGTGAAGACTGCTTTGTCTCTCGCAGTGCTTCAGCTCATACTCAGGTCAATGTTTGTAGGCTCCCGGAACAATATGACATTCATTGGATAGATCCTCTTTTACACATACATTTAACGTTTTGAAATGTAGCGTCAAAGTTGTACTGATATTTTTACACCAAAGGGATTTTCAAACGTCGTATTTCATCTAACATAAAGGGGCGAGAATAACATGACGCAAAGCTTATTAAACGAATAAGTCACGAATGAGGCAATGACAGTAGAAAACACCTCTCATTGTAAGATATGAATTTTAAGGATCCAGAGACCACGAGAGCTCAATGGCCTCTTGCAGTGCCCCTATTTTGTAATCCAATTTACATTGTCAAGAGCTTGAATCTTGAGTCGATGCACTGTATTAACCAATAGTGTGTTGTTAGATAGGTACAGTCGCATTGTGTATATATATGAAATACATGATCACATTGCAAACAGTGAATTTTCAAGGGTGTTTGTTCTTGATGCATTATTGTGATGCAGTTGATCACGACAATACTCCCCCATCTCACCCCCTCTCTTCGGTTGATGTTATCTAACTGCGAAATAACAAGGGAGAGGTAAGAAAAAACGCTGAGAACACCTCAAATTTTTCCCCTCTGCATTTAGCTGGTGTAGAGTAGCCAGCATGTGTGTACACTGTACACTGTACACTGTACACTGAACGGGAGGCGTTGGCAGTATTTTACAGACAGAATGAATAAAAAAAAAACTGGGCTTTTTTCACAATAGGTTGTAATTACAGGCTTTGTTTGCATATTGTGATGTACGAGGTTGTAACGTGATAAGCAGTTCCCAAACCCATCAGTTGTCTTTCTTAACATTTCCACTGAATAAACGCAAACTCCCCCAAAGCCTGAATTTTTTTCAGGTCCTATTTTCAACTACTCGTTTCAGTTGTGTTCTTAGCTGCGAGGATCTTTTAATTTCATCTCTTCACCACAGTGCAAATATATGAATTTCATATATCTAAAATCATCATCCCCCAAAGCAAGTAACAAGTCTAAGGGTCCTGACTGCCGTAGGAAGAGAAACAATGTCGGGGAAGAAGTCTTTGGCTTAAATGAAGCGGATTGGGACGTTTACAACTATCTTAGAACTGTTAGCGTCCGGTTAAAAGTTACTCTTTACAATTAAAACAAAAGTTTAAAACAATATTCCTCTCCTTCACGGTGTTTTTAATCAGCCAAGGCCCATGCTTCTCAGCAGACAGAGGCTAAATGTTCATTGCAAATAGTTACGTTTCCTATGCTGAACTTGTAACTATTTTTTGGTAGAACGTCTTTAGTTTTCCTCCCAAGAAATATCGTAAAAAGTAATCGAGAGAGGAGCTGTAACAGTTTATACCAAGTTAGTGGCCTGAAAGCTCACTGCAACCAATGGGATGGATAGCAACTCGAAATGGGAAAAAAAAGTATAGGCATAACTTATTGTGTGAAGGATTTACATTCCCTGAGCATTTAAATGTCCATTTTTAACGCAGTCTGATTTGAAAGACAAGAAGACTACAGTGGTGACCTTAGAAGACAAGGTAAGAGAATTTTGCTGGAAACTGAAGTTATTTTTTTATGTCCTACTTTGGAGTTATCCGATTGGTCTAACAGCTGGGACCTCTACATACTCAATTTGACATCAAAGAGGAATTTTTATTTATGATATCTCCATCGCGATTGGCTATGATTAGTTTTCATTTATCATTTTATGTTTTGTTTACCCTGAATCAGAATTAAATGCCCGCATTGATCATGTACGAAGCACGAGTAAATGAGTCATTGTGTTATTTTCAAGTGGACTCCTCAAAGAATTATCGATAGGAATGTTTTCCCAAGCGTGGTAACTCTTTTACAGACTTCCTCAAAAATCCCCTTTTATTCGTATTCAAATCTACCCTTTTACATTAAAAAAAGAAAACGTACTTTAGCTATAACGGTAATATATAGCTTGTTTGATATTCCTTTTGTTTAAAATTGTTTGATTCGGGCGATAATGTAAAACAAAGGAAAAATTTACTTCAGTTCTACCCTTTTGTCCGTGATTATCCCGGTTTTAAGGGTAGTGGACAATCGATCCGACAGGTTGCCATGGAATCGTCTCGATCACTTCAGCGTTATCCGAAACGATCGGGGCATTCCGAACGATCCATGAGGACCAAGGCTATTGCAACTTTTGGTAGGAAGGGTAAATCTGCTCGGTTGTCCATTATAACTTTTTTTGTTTTTTAAACCAAGCTATTTGAAGAGCGGGAAGTATAAATTTTTGTAAGCCTCGCAAGGTTTTCTACCTAATCTGGGATTGCTTTACTTCTGATAACGTTTCTACAGGTGCGAGAAATCGAACAATCCAAGGCCGAGCTGGAGTCTCGGTACGAGAGTCGGCTGAATCAGTTCCAACATTTGAACGAATCACTGGACGCATCTGGAATGATTGAATCACATGAAGCTGAGTTGGACAAACTGCGCACCACACAGGTATTTATCAAACGGAAATACACTTGGTCAAATAATATGCAGACAGATACTTCCTGGTCGATTTATAAACATGTTTCAAACCAGTGCCCTGGTGGAACTATGGGTCTGGTTCAGATATGGGAAAAAAACATTTGTATGAAACGTTGAACTCGTGTTGTTACCGCTGTTTTTTTGTTTTTTTTCTGAGCCTCATTACAAAGCTAGAAAACGTTTCTCGAGGGACGAAATGTCGCACGACAATTTGTAATCTATTTTTCGACCAGTTTAGCTCAAGGTTAACTCAATTTCCAGGGATTTTTTATTTTATCTAAATCATGTATGTGTTAGTTCCAACAGCAATGTTTCGTTTCTGTAACTTTCATCACGTTTCATTCCAGTCCATTGGTTTGATAACTAATGATGGAGGTAGCAAGGTCCTTCCATGTTGCCTTTCCTTCACCTTTATTCACTCTTATTTCTTGTAGTTCAGTATGTCAAAAGTGATCGATAACCTGGAGGCTCATCGTCAAGAAAGAAATGAAGAAATTGAATTATTACGAGGTCAACTGGAGGAGATGGATGAACTGAAAAGAAATAACGACCTGCTGGAAACACACTGCAAGACACTCACTTATCAACTGGAGGCCGAGAGGAACGAAGCCAGAGAAAAGTAAATACTGTAGTCTTTATGTTAATTATAGAGAGACCTCGGCGTAAGCGGATTCGTCGTCTAAGTTCATAAGGCGTCCTCTTTCAGGGGATTATGACGAAGCCCACTGTTAAGCCTACTGTTTTGTCATTTTCAGAGAGGAAAAGTTCAAAACTGAAGCTGATGAGTCAAAGAAGCAATTAGAGGCCGCCAATGAGAATGAAAGAAGTGCCACGGCGCAGAAGGTCAGTATAAGTCGGTTTAGAGAAACTTGAACTTCTACTATAGAGAATTTCCAGCGTTTCATTGCGACTTAGTGTGCTTTCGCGGTTCAAAAGGGACGTGTGCTTTTCAAGATTTTCTAAAAATGTGGCAGCAATTTTTTTTGCCAGCGAAACTATCGAAATGGCTGTCACAATTATTGTTTCAAAATTCATTAGTTTGCTGCTTTGCTTTCAGGATCAGATTTTATCGGAGAAAGCAGCCATCGAATCAGTGTAAGTATTCTGTCACTCGTCACAATGGGAAGAATCTGTGTAAACAGGTTAAAGACATGTCATGTGATTTTATTGGTATACTACCTTTCTAGGAATATCCTCGGAATGGAAAACGTAAGTTTCGTGTGGTTTTCCATTGAACTGACATTCGGCTGTCGCCCTTTTCCGTTTGTTCTGCTGAAGATCGATGGGTTGTGTTGTGTTCAGTCACCTAACCAATTTACGGTTTCTTTTCTCAAGTCCATTACTTTTTAACTTGAAACAAACGATTATCAGAGCTCTTTCCGTAATCAGGTTAGTCCTGTCTGGTGTACACGTGTATCACATGAATGAGGAGAAGGCTGAGTAGAATATGTTAATTCATGGACGAGAAAAAGATGTTTGTTACTGAAATATCACAACGAAGTGCTCTGATTCTACAGCACTCTTGTTTTCGTCCTTTCCAGCGAGGGTTTATAGCCTGCTTGTTTCTTTACACAGGTTGGCTGCAGCGAAGCTAAACATGGAGACAGCACTTGAGGATGCTGAATACATGGCCGAAGAACTTGAAAGGTGAAAAAGTAGAAGAGATGGGAGGGAAATCCAAGGTCATATTTGCCCTTACTACATTTTTAAACTCGTCCTGATATTTCGCATTTTAGAACTCGACAGCTTGAGAAGCAAGGATTTGAAGAAAAAGAAGAACTGAAATCTAAACTTGAATCCGCCATGGAAGAGAAGTTCAAACTGGAGAAGGTAAGAAATGTTATATCGGTATTTAAGGTAAATTTTCCTTTCTCAGTAAATGCATTCCCTTCGTCGCCAAAAACTTGAGAAGCATTCTTGAGTACGATTTGACTCTCCCCGATAAAGGAGTGTAGGGTGAGTTTGCTTCAGAACAAATTTATACAAGTGTTAATTAAGAGTTTCTTTGTTATTTTTTTTCTTCTTGCTTGGCCCTTTAAATTTTGTGTGTTGTAAAATTCTTTTCGAATGTGTGGTCAAAGATGCGAATATTGTGCATGTAACGATTATTGTGCCTTTTCTTTTGCGGTTTGTTTGTGGTAGGTATTGAAAAAAATTGAAGAAGAGAATGCTCGATTGAAGGGCCATCAGAACCCACAACAGAAAGTACAGCACTTGTTGGCAATTAAAAAGGAAAATAATGCTCTTAAAGAGGTAAGATACTTTCGATTAGCAAGGCCATTTAAAACTCAAAACGTTCTGGACAATATTCTTGAGGCTTTCTGCTCACACTGAGGCACACAGCTCTCCCAACGGCTACGTGCGATAGTATTTTTAAACGGCGCGCAATGACACCTTGGATCACTAAAAGGCCGCGAAGAGAAATCTATGTTTATGTTCCATATTACTTCCCTCGTCTCTTAAATTAGAAACGCAAACCGTCAATTTTACTCATGATGACCTCCTAACGCCATATATTTGTTTCGCTTTTTTTAATTTCTTTATTAATTATGTCACAATCAGACCCCAGTTGTTCGAAGAGTAGACAACACTACCTACTGGATAAATCTCCGGTCGGTAGGGCAGTATACGTTTTGTTAACAATTATCCTTTGGATAGCGTTTCCCGCCCTTGCTTGATCTGAGTCTCCAGGAAGAATCCAACCTCAAATCTCACGCTCCAGTGCAGAATACTTCCACTTCAAGGTTAAGTTTTTATATCGCCGTATTTCCTTTAATAAGGTAACAGTTTGTTTTGTTTCTTTTTCTATTCAGCAAGTGAACAAGCTGATTAAAGAAACCCAGAAGTGCAGTTGTAAAGGGAAGAAAGCGCCACTTAACAGCAAAAATGGAGGAGGTGAGAGCAAGAAAGAAGGAAAATCAAAGACAAGTTCATCAAGCGAGGAAGAAGGGACATCGGATATAAAAGATGCGATGGACAAGGAAAATTTGTTTTCTGCTGCTACTTGAAAACTTTTGCGTTACTTGCTATCTAGTGGGTTTTAACGTTCAGTCAATGATTACAAAGGAAGAAATTGCGTTTTACCTGTGACTTCATCTGCTTTGTGAAGGAGCAGTTACACGAGTCTGAAACACGATTGTACGACGAATACAGACTGATTATTGAGCAAGTTATTTTAGTTTAGAACTGAAGTTGGTTTGTGTCTTGGGGCGAGATGAGAAAAAATCCATGAAGCCACGAATATGGCTTCTTTTGAACAAAAAGCAGTGTTCTCTCTAGGCCTGCCTAGGAATATGCTAAGTAGTCACTTATGTTTTAGGGTTTTAAACGGGACCCGACGGGGAACCGCGTATATTTTCATATTTTGTATAACTGTGGCTACGATCTATAAGTAGTGAGGTGTTTAGGTTCAAAACAGTGAATTAGCAGCCGGCATTGTCAGCTTGTTAAATTCACTTATCTTGTGAACCGATCCACGGGCTTTTGATATGTACAAGAATATCTAACATATTCTTCAATTTCAGGAGATCGACGAGTACTTGTAGTCTAGAATTTCAAATATCTCTATCATAGTTTGATTGTAACGCATGCCGTGCTCAGGATCATACAGTATATGCACTATCAGCAGTCATTCTGCTATTTTTAAAGAACTCAGTAACAAAACCTCATCTTATCCTAAGTCTATTTCATGTTTTATTCATTATCAGAGCTTTTTCCATGTTACACACGTATTATTTTTGTGACACTCTTGATCCCTCTGTATCAACGAACGCTTTCCATTTCTTCAATTCATTCTTGTTTTTCTCGTTAACCAATAGCGTGACCCCATCTTTCTTTAAATAAAAAACCACCACCACCAACTCACCTTAAAAATTTCTTGACAGTGACCAATAATGGCATAATCGATTCAGTTAATGAAAAAAATTATCTGGCAAAACCCTTCACAGACGTATCACCACAGTTTCTTTGCAGACTCATCCCCTTCATTCAGTTGTTGATAAACACATGCTTACTTTGAACTAGGTAATTTAGTGTTAACAACTGGGTTGAAAACGTAAATTAGCCTCCGTAAAGGGTAAAAAAAGCTGACTTTTCGAGCGTTAGCCCTTCGTCCAATCGCTCTGACGAAGGGCTAACGCTCGAAACGTCAGCTTTTTTACCCTTTACGGTGGCTAATTTACGTTTTCAACCCAGTTGTTAACACTAAATTACCTGCTATACTCTCCCACCGACGCAGCACCACAGTTTCTTTAGAAACTTACCCCTTTATTCACTTACTTTGAACTGTTACTATCGCTTAACACTGGGTTAGTAGTAGAAGATTTTTTCTTTTAATTGAACGCATAATCTTACTGTTTTCAGTTTTATAATTGATTGACTGGTCTATCAGTCGACAAACTAATCATTTTCTAAATAGCAATTTAAGAATAACAAATCATTACAACGAAAGATGACTGACAGGCGAAGACAAATAATGAAGCCTAAAAATCACGGAACTATTTTTTACGTTATTGACTACACGTGAATTAACGAACAAAGCTGTACACAAGGAGCAAGTAGCCTAATCTGGGAAAAAAAAATTCAAGAAAATAAAGGCTCGAAATATTCCACGACGTGCTCTCCACTATTGAAGCACCATGAGTCCGTGGTGAGTCACCATAAGGGGTCCGTCAGAGGTAAAAAGGTACATCAAAAAGAGGCTATTTACATTCATTTGGCACGCCTACAATGACTAAGAATTTCACCGAAAATACTACCTAGATTTCATATTATGAGGTAACTGACAAAAGATCCGTTGATGGTAGGCAGTTAAATTTAATAGGAAATGTCAAGATTGGCTCATTGTAAGGTACGAAAGTTACACCAAATAGGGGCTGTCCAGATTGGCCCGTCCTGAAGAAACCCCTCCATCTTGATGTGCGGTGCTTTTGGTTCGCATAAGATGTCCAACCTCTCTGTTCACTAACACTTCATCACCACGACTGAAAAAAATGAAAAAGAGAAGATTATACAATGGTAACGGTCTTTCTCTCCGATAACCTTCGGCAAAAATGGACAATTCCTCCTTCTGAAGCTACCATAATTAGTAACTCAAACTTTTGACCACCCTGGTAAACGAACACCCCTCTAACAGAAAATTTAGGTGATCTCTTGCGGATTATTTCTTCCCATTTTCATCCTGAGAGCAGGGGCAGCACCAGTTGGCGCTCCGGCAAGGGTGGCAAAGCCCGTAATAAGGAGGACTCTCCTCGCTCGTCGGCTAGAGTCTCCCATACTTCGCTGCTTGTGCCGCACCGCCAAATGAGAGCCTTGCCCGAAGGCCCTGAAGTGGCGACAGAGGTGGCTTGGTCACATGACTTACTTTAAAAGTATTCCAAAACATCCAATCTCACTGAGTACGTCAGCTAAGACTGGTTTAGGAAGTTCTGCACGAACTATGTAGTTCTTGACGATGGGTGGTTTGATTTTTTCCATCAAAATGAATTTGGATCTTTCCTTCACATCAACTGTTGAAGTAAGGGTCTTGACAATGTCGTCTCCAAATATGTTATTCCCTTCAATTGGAAAGTAAACAACAACAATCAAATTATTACTGAAGGTTTTAAGTTTAACAGAGAAACAAAAATTTGAATCATTTGCTACAGCAACAAGTCATTCCTCCCACTTTCAATAGGTCACCGGTCAAGAGCTTCAAATTTCTCGCGGAAGAATAGCATGTCTCGCGTTTCGGCTGTCATCATTAAGATTTTACTAAGATTCCTCTCTACGAAGCTTTCCATCTGGAAAGCCAGAAAACTGACCAGCCCCGGGCTCAGAGTAGCTGAAGAGACCTATCGTAAAGCCAAAAGAATTTCTCTCTAATTCTATAGACTTTTAGACAGATAGCTAGTCGCTTGTAAGGATAAACATCTCCGGTAAGATTTCGGATAGAAAAACTTCAGTATTTTAAACAAAGCCAAAGTTGTAATAAATGAGAAAGCCCTACCTCCTCCTTCTAGTTGTGGCTTCAAAACAAATCTCTCGGGATCAGCTAGAGCCATTTGAACGGTTTTATCTCCTTCAGGTCCCTGTATCGTAAACAAATACTTCATGAGCTTTGTCAGGGAGGGTTATTTGGATCAATAACTCTTGGAATCAAAGACAATGGTAACTGTATCACGTCCGACACTTTGTTTTCTCGTATTTGTAGGTTTGTGTCCTATCTGTTTTCGTTCTTTTTTTATATCGCTGCCAGCCGGCATCACTGAATCCTTTAAAATCATTAACCACCCGCCTTTCGAACTAAGTAAGCTGATCTATAATTAGGCTGGCAATCGCACTCTTCCAAAGTAAACAAATCGAATTTTACGTTAAGGACGTGCTTTAATCGTTGAAAGAGAGATTACTCTTCAAATTGGGATTAAAACAACCAACAAGGCTATTTTGGATTCATTAACACTGGATGGATTCAGTTACAAGTAAAGAAGTGATAGAGTTTAATTTAAATTACAGTTAAACTTCCCTCACCTCATCCAGTGTAAAGAGTCCAGTGAAGGTTCTACGTATCCTGTTTAACATATCCTCATCTGATATGAATCTGGATCAAATAAACCACAGACAGAATCAAATAGGATGCAAAGCACCAAAACAACTTCCCTCCTTAGGTAATTAATCCTGGTGGCCAATGTCTTCCCTGTGGGAAATACTTAGACCCAATTTATTTGACCAGGTTGAACTACATAGAAACAAATTACCAACAAAACTGACTTGTACTTTACTAGCAATTCTTATTATTTGTAAACCCAACATAAGTGGTATATGGATTGTAAGCTACCTGACAGTGGAGTTATCAATTTAGTAATGAGGATAAACAACACTTTACCAGGAGACATGGCATCTAAACCAAGTAAATATATAAACAGTGAAACTGTTCCCCTTCATAACAATGTTAATTTTTAGGGAAATGCCCCCTGACCTATCACCC